AGGACCGGTGTGTAACGGGAGAGGAAGTGAAATACCACAACACAAATTTATCGATCACTCACTCGAGAAAAAAATGAGTGTAAAAACAAAAAATGCACTTGGTCCCCACGCGGACCAAAATCTTCTGCGATCATCGCGATATGTGCTTTTTTAGAGAGAGGTCCCTTTTCCACCGTGGGCATACTTGTTCTGTAGCACCAACGTGCGGCGTCTGAATAATAACTGTTCAGGCGTCTCGCTCTGTGCCAAGCGGGAAAGATAGGCTCGCCGCTCGGGCTCGCTTTGTCGTCGCTTTCCACGTACGTGCCGCACTGGCGCTCACTTGAGTACTTTCTTGCCGCAAGAAAAAAAGCTAGACCCAAAGGGTTAAGCAACATCAACGGCAACAACAGGGGGTAGCACGCTTCTCTCTGTCATCGCCACTCCATCCACTCCAACTGCATGCCATGGGGACCACACTGCAAGCAACGCGGCTCACCACAAACACAACAACGACCGGCGAGGCAGCAGGAGGAGGAACAGTCACGCGGCAGCCAATAGCAGCAGGCCAGGACGCAGAGGCTCTCGCGGATAGCGGGGAGGGTAGAGGGAGGGCTGCGAGGGAAGGTAGGTGTGCGTGTGGCGCAGTTGACGAGTTGCCCATCACGTGGATAAAAAAATGCGCCGAACAGATCGGCAAATTTTGAATGTAGCGGGACAGAGGTTTTAGCCGCCAATACACGGTGAACTCATTCATCTGCGAGCCAAACGTTTTCAAAATGTTGCACCTCACTCAATGAATCGATGAAGGAAAGGAGACACCAGAGCAGAGGTGCCGTCACCGGGGCAGCAAAGGAATCGCCGTGCAGATATTTTGCCATGCGGGTTGTCAACAAACCGACGCGTCGGGATGGATGGATGATTGGTGGCGATTGCTTTGGGTGTGGTGTTCACTCCAACAAAGAACCTACCTACCGATAGATGGAGTCAAGAGAGCGAAAATAAACAACGCGGAGCTACCAGAGCATCATCATCACGTTACTTGAAGTGTTCTGGCGAAAGGACGGGCGTGCAGATGATATAAAAGCATGCATGGATCCCTGGGTGTGGGTACTACTGCTGCGCTGCAGTAGCTCGACATAAAATATTCGCGTGTGTGTGCGTGATGCGTGCGTGCGTGTTTGTAGCTCTTCTTCTAGCGGTGCTGCTGCGTACTCGTCATCGACACTCAGTGTGGATTGACATTGCGAAACTTCGTGCACACAGAAACCAGAGTGGTCTCTGCTGCTGTTGGCGTCTGGTATGCGTCAGTTGCAGCGCCCAGGCTCCCGCCTGGTGTGTGTCGGTCTCTGAACTGGTTGGTTCGAATGCGGTGCGCGCAGAAGAAAAAGCGGTGTAATTGCCAAAATTACTCGAAAATAGACAAGATGCCGTAGGCGCCAAGTTAAATGGAGACAGCTGATTGGCGGACGCCAAGTTAAATCTGTCCCGGTGGCGTCGGCGAATTTTGAATGTATGTACCGACACAGTCCCCACAAAAAACGATTTTTTTTTTTACGACAAGGCGTCGATCACGCGGAGCCCCCACAGCGGCCGGATTCCGATTCCTATGGGACCGCCCGTTCTTCGTCAACAACTCCGGCTGTAGTGGCGATCCAAAATATGGCCAACCCTTGAACGAACCCTTAGACAAGTCTCTACAGCGTTGTACCATCTTAAGTCTGGGACGAATCGTTTTTTGGAGGTGTATAAAGCGCTGAAGTTCGCTTGGAGGGTGTTATCTTCCGTAGAGATGAGCTCGTCTGCTCCGCATCTCGCTCCAAGGGAGAGAGAGAAAGGGCTGCCTGGAGAGCCAGCTGAAGCACAACGGAGGCAGCCTTCATCGGTTCATTGCCCTGCCGCAATATGAGCTGTAGAGTGAGGAGTTTCAGCAGTAAGCAGGAGGACAACAAGGCGGAAACCAGCAGATTTCGTATGCACACGAGGATGGTCAACAGCAGCAGCAGCAGCAGCAGCAACCGTTACGCCGCGGCAGCACACCCGCGCTTGTTCGCGCCTTCTACCAGCACAGCGTCATCGTATGTTTGCGTGCGCTGTAAGGCAATCGTACTCACTCCACTCCCGCGTGGTGGTGTAGCAACAAGATCCTTCTACCGCGGCCGACAAGATCCTTTGACTCGGCCCCCAAACCGTTTGAAAAATTGAAATTTGGACGCTTGTTTCCTCGTGTGACGACACATTCCCGGGCTACTGTAGGACCCAGGTACTTCAGGTGGTACACGTTCATCAATTGGTTGCAGCAGGACGTATATTTGCAGTCGTAATGTTTTAATGCGACCCTCCTTGTTTTTTGCAAAGAACGACACAGCCGTAGCGACCCGTGTACAAAAAGAGTGGGCGCACTGGACATGAAAAAAACACACACCAACAGGCAAGCGGAGCACCAAAAACAAACACAGGAGCAATTGTGTTGAAGCGTATACTGAACGTGTGCGCCGTGTGTCACTGACGCAGGAGGGGAAGAAATTGTGGGAAGAAGAACGCCAAACAAGGCTGTTCGGTGGAAGGTCCTCGTAAGTCCACTGGTGATGGCGTATCCGAGAAGGCCGCGGACAAACGCAACACGGAGATGTTGGCCAGGATCAGAGACGCCATCGATGATTTATTTGCGAAGAGAAGTGGTGAACGCGCGTGGGAAAAAGGCGTGACTGAGGCAGAGGTCCGACACCTAGTTTCTATGGCTGCCGGTTTGCCCGATCCCTTTGCCGGATTCGAGATAAACCCCATCCGACAGGTGAGCCCCGCCAGGGAAAATAATGTTGGAATGCAGTTTTTTATGGGCAAGGGCGCGATACTTCATGTATTACCACGAAAGCAGGAACCGACGTAGCACGTCCCCTCCCATTGGCAAAAAAAGCAATCCCTTGTACGCCCTTACGAAGCGTGTTGTGCTCAGCAACGGAAAGGGGGGTTGTTCTCTGCAGCATTTTTTTTCTGTAGTGAGGTAGGAATGCCAGTCGAAAAACAAGAAACCACAGCCAGCCGTGTGCTCCTGGACATGTTTTTTTTCCGCCACGAAACCACCCCCGATGATTATGTAGGGGGATACGGGATGTTTCAACCTTCCTGAGGACACCGACGAACTTGCCAGTCGGTGTTTGGAAGGGGCCGCGACATCCGATGGTGGGCGGGTGGGGGTTCCCGTCGCAAACGTCGGGCTGGGTGCTTGTGTTTGGATCGCCCTTGCTTTCGGGGCGCTCAACGAACGGTGTTCCACCGGGGGTGCTGCGCTCGCCCTCCGTACAGCAGCCATGCGGATGGCGCTGCTGAAGAGCCCCGAGTTCCTGAGCCGTGACGGGTACCTTGCCGAGTACCGTTCTCCCGACCTCTTCGATTTAAAGGAACACGACATGGTGCTTAAGCTTGCAGGTCGTGAGTGAAGAGGGGGAAAGTGCCACCGGTCAAAGCTTTTGCTCACGCCGCAAGGGGTACGAAAAACGAAGCCACCACGGGGCCCACGCCTGCTGCCCCCGGCATCGTCGCGACCGAGGGGGCGTCGGCAGTTCAGTCGGCCGTTGTACACAAGTATCTCGGCACAATAAAAAAAAGGCAAAGACCAACGCCGATCCTTTATGGGATTCGCCGAAGGTAGGCTTCAAGTTCGACGACCCTACCCCTCGGCCGGAGAAGTGGCAAGAGTTCCTGTCGAATAGGCAAAATCGGGACAACATATTCGCCGTGATTTGCCGACATCTGCGGGAGAACCTGGCCCGTGCCTGCGATAAAGCTAAACGGTCCCAAGGCATGAGCTCTGCCGAGGATCACGTGAGTCGTGCAACAAAACGCTTCAATAGGCCACGATATGGGACCCTGTGCCAGAGGATGTTCCCGTCCCGCGCAGCTCAAGGAGCTCACTGGCCGCAGCAGTAGTACCCACACCCGGGGTGCATGCATGTTTCTATATCGTCTGCACACCCGTCCTCTCGTCAGACCACTTCAAGTGACGAGATGATAATGATGCTCTGGCATCTCTGCATCTTATTGTTATCTCCTCTCTTCACAGTGATGACACCTCTGCTCCGCTGCAACATTTTGAAAGCGTGCGGCCCGCAGACAAGGCCCGAGGAGGAAACCATCATAGCAATCATAACCTTCCTCATCATATACCGCCTCTTTTGCTCGCGGACATGCGAAGCACAGCCTGACACACAAGATGACACCACACGAGCAAGGATAGCTACACTGTGAACCGTCGAAGATCTCTCTGTTGCGGAGGTCCGGTTGGGTCATCGTTGGATTTCCGTGTTGAGTATCTTCCCGGCACAATGTTCCAGAAGATAGCTGCTGATACCGCGGCAGATGGGAAGGAAGGCTACCAACATTGCATGCACGCTGTGGTCTGGACACACAAAATATACAAATGCTGCAATCAATCGGCTGCCCTCACGTTTAACAGGCAGCCCAATTCGAGGTCACTCCTTAGAGGTTTCGAGCGCGAAGAGAATTCGGAGAACAGGGCGCTGAGCATGTCGTGCCGTGCACACTATGAGAGGGGACTGCATGTGCGCCACAGAGAGCCACGGCAATATACTCCCCTGGTGATAAGAACGATGGTCCCGGCACAATGATCGATGTGAGGCATAGATAGTTGCACCGACACCACCCAGGTTGTGCGCAAGCGTAACCGCCCAAACGACTCAGTCCCCGCTCATTCAAAGCACTGCCGCCGCGCGACAAAAATGTCTTGGCCCAGTGATCGCCTCTTGCATTCACATATCTCCTCGTACCGGTCCATTTTTCGATGCAGCTGTGCCGAGCCGACGCCCTGAACAACGCGCAAATCTTCTTACCGAAAATTAAATCCTAGACTGCCCGCTGAAGCAATAAACCTTCTGAAAATCCTTTCGCGGCTCGCTCCCGGAGGTGGAACCAGGAATCAATAGTGCAGCAAACAACGCGAAAGGCCTACGTGCTGCACCGTTTCGATAACCCCACCGTGCCGTTCCATGTTCTCAGCCCGTTCAGCCGCCGCCAGTCTTGCGCCCCACGACGACGAGCGCCCGGACGTAGTAAATGCGAGGCGGCCGAGAAGCCGCCGGAGAGCTTCCACCAGCGACGGCATCGTCTTCTTTCTGGAGTCCGAGGGGCGTTCGCCCTTCGACCCATTCCTTGTTCATGGCGTCTTCGAAAATGTCCATTGCTTCTTGCCGAACGTTTGTCCGCCCCTTTTTCTCCAAGGTCGACATGGTTTGCTAATCGATCAGAGACAACGCGCGAAAGCAACAGCAAGAAAAGCGTCGAAAAGGACTGCTTGTTACAACATCATGGTAGGGTAAGCAGGCTGTCGAAGCACTGGTCCACACGTGTTTCACGCAGCGGTGCTCCGAGAGAAAAGCTGCCGTGCTCTTGATTCCATAACGGGAATCTCAACTGTCAGCGCGAGAAAAAAAAAATGGGTGGTAAGAAAACATCACGCCCGCTGAAGACAATACGTGCTATCATGGGCCGCCAAAACAGCGGGTCGACCCGCGTATCAGTGTATGGGGGAGGGGGAGCTTGGCATGCGTCCCCCATTTCTTGCAATGCGAAAAAGATGCGGGATGGCACAGGTGGGAAGCACCGAACAAGTCAAAAACTGAGCGACACACTCCAATATATGGGTTCACATGCGTCTGGCCATACCCCACTTCCTTCAAGGCGCAAACGTCTATCTACACATGCGTCTGGCCATGCCCCTTTTTTAAGCGCAAACGTCTAGCGGCGGTTTACTTGCCCCGAGTGGGGAGGATTCGGTGTAGTGCTCCCAGATGTCCCGAGGCCGCGCGTCGGCCGAGAGAACCACGGGCACCGAAAACTTGGACGCCGACACGTCGCAGAGCCCGGCAGCCTGAAGGAGGAAGAGCCGATCGAAAGGGGTAACTGACTTCTCCGGTGCTGTGGGCGTGCACATCTCCCATGACCCGGGGGAAAATGAAGCACACCTTCAACGTATAGTAGCTTGGTTACACTTACGCATGTCGAAAAGCCGACAGCTTGAGGGTACGAAGCCCGGTCATCCGACAACAACGTAAACGAGCACGTTAGCCGGAGCACAGGATCGTGTTGGCTACAGGTGCGGTCAGCTTGCCGCAGTGCCAAGACCAAAATGCATACGAAGGATGTAGCTCGCCCAGATGAAACAGCCATGTTCGGTCAAGGTTGACTCTGAATGCAAATATGCTACAATGCCCGGAAATCAAGCGCTGCCCGGGGGTTGGGTCCCTGGGGGTGAGGCGACCACAGATTGCGAACGAGGGTCACGCGCAAAACACACGAACCATGTTTTCACCCCGACAATGCTGTGGCTCCCTCATTCTCTGGAATCCTGGTTCGGTGCGGCTCTCCGTACTCAATGTTGCGTATTCTTTTCAAGAACACGTGCTTGATTCATGCCGGTGAGTGTCATAGGTCGACAACGGTGAGAGCACGGAAGTAGCCGTTGTATTGAGAGGGCTCGGTGATAACATGGAGCTTGTACCATTTAGCGGGTCAAGACAACCCCAGAAATAACTAAGGTGGTAGTATCTTCTAGGACAGTATTTACTGCGCGGCGAATTCCGACTAGCCTTCATCTCCTCGACTACCGCTGATCCCCCGTCCTCGCCCAGCGCTTCAGCGTCGATCAGCAATTGGAACCCTGTGAATCGGGACGAACAAGCGCGTCACACACGCACGTGTCAGGGATCAGGACACACCTTCGGCGAAACCGGGAGGGACGAAAAAAATCTCCTCGGAGCGGGACACCGCCGTGCTCAACCGTTTGCGCACAGGCATTCGACTACCTTTCGGGTTGTGGATGCATGCAGCAAGGAAGCACCAACAACGCCTCTACTGTATGGAACACGCCCCTCGAAACCCGTAGGAAGGTACTAGCACCTGCACCTACAGACCGTACCAACGCCAAAGTCAGGAATCAATCACAACGAACACGACATCGCTCCTAGTTGGACGGAAGAAACCACCCACCCTTACCTGGAACGAGGGTCTCCACCACGTTGCGCATGCGCTGGAATACCGAGCCTTCCTGCCTCTCCCACAGCGTCACCGCCACCACCCCGTCTCTCTTGAGGACGCGAGAAAACTCCTGGTACGACCGACAGACATCACCCGACGGCGGTATGACACCGCGAAACATCCGGAGACGGCGTGACAAGAGGCTTCGAGCGCGAGGTGTGTATGTGTGCTCGTGTGTGTTTCTCTACATATCTCGCACAATCCGCGTCAAACCCGCTTTCCAATGAGAAAACGTCCGTCGCACAGCGAAAAAAAAAGAAAGAGAAAACACGTATTCTAGTACCGCGGGTTCCCTCGGCATGGGGGGCGCGGAGGAGGTTCGACGACAACGGTCCAGTGTTCTGATTCACGGTGCCCCCAGCAAGAGGACGCAACTACCGCTACGTGTCATGCCTCCTGCGGTGTGTACTTCAGTGCGAGCATCGCTTGCCCAGGAGACTGGTACTCGTGGTTGTGTTGGGTGTGGACATAGGCAAGGGATAGCAGTTCCAACTATTGGAGACATTTGAGCGCGCGGTGGATTGCGAAGCTTGCTTCGCTACGTGAATCACACGCAACACTCCAAAAGACTAGGATAGTGCGGATTTTATTAATATCGCAGAATAGGACAGTGCGGACAGAGTAGCCATATCAAACGAATCTCACCAATCCATCTGCCCTTGCCGACACGTTTGATAGCGGATGGGGTCATCCAGCCCGTCGCTTGCGCATAAGAAAACCCCGTGAGAACCAAGAGCCGCAAGCCCCAGGCCACCGAAAATTCACGTACGTACGTGCAGATTCCCACAACACTGTACAGCAGCCCAGCTCGACTGCGCACCTGAATAGCACGCTGCCAGTTCGGCATGAAGAGAAGACCCCACGTGCAGGTCACCGCGTCCACCGACCCGTCCCCGAACCCGGTCAACGCTTCCCCGTCTGCCACGCTCGCCACTACATTCGACACCCCTTCTTCCGCGGCTCTCTTCCTATGGGTGCCCGCGAGAGAAGGGCGGTTTCGTCGTCAAAGATTGGATGACGTTTTCCACCAATACGACGTGAACGGATGCTGATCGATGTGGCGCTTCGGTCAACGAGAGACTGCCGTGACACCAGGCACGAAAAGACGAGGAGTAATCGCTCTCGTCGATGAACCCCGACAGGTAATACCACCTCTGCAGCCCGAACTGCATAAACGCAGAAAGGTTTGTCCCGCACAGTTTGCTTACAAGGGGCGGGGCGAGGGAATATTTCAAGGCATGGCCAGGGGGCCGTACGCTCTTCGAAAAGAGAAGATAAACACGTCGGCGGATTCGCCCTTTTCCTTTACAGCTTGCGCGGCACGGTCTTCTCCATCAACTACCACGACAAACACTAAGGACTGCCCGCGATCGTTGAGCCAATCTGCAGGCAAAATCGACACCTGCCCCGATTCTTCATCTGCGCGCGAAGCAAGGTGCGTTGACTACACGCCCCTCCCCTGCCGTCCCTCTACACACTGCCGACGCGAGTCGATGCCACGACGTTGTGATCACCTGATGAGGTCCATCATCGCTGGGGCGAAATCGGTGGCGTGGACCGTAGCGCCAGGCATCGCCTGGGTAATTCGTGAACATTTTGGTGGGGAGTACGGTGGGTGCAGCGCCATGACTCATCAAGCAGAACGACACGGTGAAAAACATTAGGTACAGATGCCGTACAACACCACCACGACACGCGCTCGGAACCGGAACCACAGGCTACCGGGAATGGTATCGGCGTTCCTGACGAATCATCCATGACGAACCCATCGAGGTGAACACTATTGCCGTGCGCCGTATCCGTACCAAAAACTGCAAAATAAAACGGGGAGAACGCCGACGAACCCCGGGGGTGATCCAACAAAACAAATGGTGGAAACCCGAGCCCCAGGGAGTGTACGCTGGAGGTATTTTATTGTTCTGGCGTCTCGTCTCGGGCGCTTGCGCGGTTCAACCTTGCGGTATATTCCCTCTCTTGCCTTTGCGATGGTGATCGCCGGCTCTCCCCCGGCCGAGGCGACATCGAGAACCACTTGTTTTCCGGGCTCCTTCGGCTGCACCTGTGGGGTGCCGTGACATCAAGACAGATGTGAACAACGTAACACCAGGAACTCATCAGTGTCGAAAATACTTTCAACAGCAACAACGGCGTAAACAACAACAGCAACAACTACAACAACAACTTCAACTATAACAATAACACTATCTGGCAGGTTCGTCAGCTTAGCTACCCACCAGCGGGCATGGCAGGACACCAGGACACTGGTATACTTCTGCGGGTACCGTATGCATACCTTGTCGTACGGAGACGTGACGATTCTCGTCGCGAGCTTGTAGCCGACATTCATGCCCGAGGAAACTTTGAGGGAAGCAGAAGAAGCACCATCCTGAACATTCCCGACGTACGCCTCCGCAGAGGAGTTCCAAGCCGCATTGATCTTTGCCTGCGACGAACGGGAGGTCGGTTGACGCCAGGGAAGTAAGCGCAGCATGGGAAGTAGGAGTTAGTACCACTACGGAGAGAAGTCGTGCTATTAATAGTACCTGTTCGGAACGTGTGAGTACCATTCTGGACGAGGACATGAAGAACCGTGCGCAACACGCACGAAATGAAGGCTAGCAACAGGGCGTGAAAGTATAACTGCAGCAGTGAACATCAGTGCTGCTAACCTATCCGACGGGGTACGCATAGGGAGTAAATGTGAGGTATCAAGGACGGTCGAACGTGTTTCCGATAGGAATCCCATCCAGCACATGTTTTTCGGAGACGCACAGAAAATCGGTTCCCTAGTACATTACCTCCTCGGTATAAGGAATACATCAGAGACCAGTGGAGGGGGAGGCACACGTTGAGCGAGATGTAATCATGCAGGCGGATCGCGCACGTGAATGCCCTTGCAGTTGCGTACACTCGCCAAGAGCAACTGAGCAACCGATTCCAACATTAGTACCCGGCAGAACAGTGATCAGGAGGTTGCGTAACCTCCATCGATTAAACAAGTACCACACCACAAAAGTGGTCTGCCGGTCGATCGTACTTGGACCCCCACCTTGTTTTCCTCTTGTACGGCGGCGTCATCTCCTCCCTTTGCTGTAGCCCCCACCGTCGAAAACGCCAGTCTGCCACGACCAGAGGAAACAAAAAAAAAAGCCAGCAACAATGTTGTCGGAGGGAAGAAGACCGCGACTTGTTGTGTGGGTGTACACCATGCAGCCAATGAGAACGGGTATCGCCACCACTCCAAGACTTGTCAGCGCTGTCTGTACCAGCTGCTTTGCTTTGAAGTACAGCAGCAGTGGGGGGTGCGCCTTGCTTTCTTGAATGAGGGTCGTCGGTGCTTCGTTTTGCCATTTTCGGTGATTCCTTGTCGGTGTAGGAAATGCTCGATCTTGAACAACGGTCAGTCTTTGGTGGCGATGGGGTTCAAACAACACCATCAAGCCTGCGGTGAGCATACATACTTTCGTGAACACGCCCTGCCGCGGAGTCCAGCATAGCAAGCACATCGACCTACGATTTTTTTTGTTCTTCTCTTTGGGGAGGTTGCTCGATTGATCGCGGGTTCGAAGACCTCTCGGGTGTGCCATCACATTTCGTACATAGTATTCCTTTGAACCTGCGCGCCGCCGTCGGAACGATGATGATATTCGTTACTACCGTACGAATACTCCGTTCTAGGCTGCACTACTGTACAGTGCTGCTGGCTGACATTTGAAAAACGAGTGAAAGGACGAACGCCGTACGACACCATTGAATACGCGAGCACAGCCAGTTTTAATGGTAAATGGATGGATGATCGTAGTCGCGTGGTTTTGCTCTGTTACAATAGAGCCGGTGTACGGCAGGTGGGGCCGATTTGCGGAACAAGAAAATAGAAACGACCCGCGCGTCCGGCAGTTACCATGTACCAGTAAACCTAAGCAACTCTGTAGCTACCGAGTCTGGCAGGCAGGAGGAGTAGATATCAACTGCTGCGGTCTAGGCGCTGGTGCTGTGGACATCGTGGCGAACGGTATGCAACATGTGCATAAGCACGTTTGGGCCCTGACATTGCGAATGTCCCCAAGTAAGTCTGTGATTCACGTTGTGTTCGCGCATACCGCACGCAGTGTTCACACAGACATGGCAGCAAAAGGGAGACAAACCAAGGGGGACAGGCGAAGAGGGCGCGGATCCTCGCAGGCAGACGTCGGTGGTTCATTGCGGGCCGGGAGAGCTGCATTGCCTGAACCTTTTGTGTACCCTGTGCAACTCGTCGTCTGCTCTTGGGCGCGAGTTTGAAACACATGTAAAGGACTGCTGTATGTTCGCTACAAAACGGAGGTCGACTTCATGCACCTGGTTCGGACTCCCCTTGCTGCTGGGAGGTTGGAGCGGTGAAGCAACCCGCTCCTGACGAGGACCGCACTGCCGAAACGGAGAGCCATCGTGGGTACACCGCTTGACCGAGGTGGGCAGGTACGTGTGTGATCACCGGGCGCTTGTTCACAGCGTGTTGCGAGGTGTGTCTCATGGCTGTCTCACCGACAAAAAAAGAGGGACGCGCCTAGAGCCAATCAGGTAACAGGATCACACATTTAACAGGTTCCCGCGTTCGAACAGCCCAGGTCTGGCCGCGTTTTATTTACATGCGGCAGAATGAAGAGATCATGAGATCATGATCAATCAAACAAACATTTCAGGAACTATTTGGATTTGGTGGGGGCCTCACAGCTTCACAGGCAGCGCAGGACGTCGCCGACGGGAAAAAGAGACATTATTGTCCCTCGCCCTGGCTGAGAGCGCTCTCAGCGTCGGAGGGGATATCTCGTTCGCAATAAGCGAACTGCTGGATGTAGGGTGGCAGCGAAAGCCTCAAGATTTCACTAACTCTTCGCGCTCTCTCGGGGTTTAGAAGAGCGAGAGAGGCAAGCGATCGCTTCTCGCAGAACTTCGCTCGAAAGACAAGGATAGTTGCCTCGCCTAATCGGCATGACTCCAACACTTACACGCCAAATTCGACTGCTGTGTTCGGAACCAGAGTGGGACAGGTGCATCTGTCCTATCGTCAAACCCGAACCGACTCGTCGGGGTTTGTCCTCGGGTCAGGTTCGCGACAAGAACAACAGGCCGGGGTAGCCCCACAGCCTGACTTCTGAAACCCGCTGTGGTTCCTCAGCATGCCGTTCGTAAAGAACATTTTGATTCATGAAGTGCCTGGTGCTGGGTTAGTCTTGTTGCCAGTCTACGGGATGAACCGCTACATTTTTTTTTTGCACATCTAGCAACGAGGCCGCTGAGTGAACTTTCGGGCGGAATCAGCATTTTGAGCAGACGCGCAGGTACCCCAAGTTGTAGTTGTTCAAAAAATGAACATGCGTGTTCTCGATATAGAAAACGATGCCAAACCCGCCGCTGAACTTTTCGGAAAAACCGAACAGGAATACCGAAGGACGTCACTCTTAAGTCCAACCGTGTGACGCATGTAAAGCAATGCACTCATTCGCGTGGACCGATTTGCGTGCTTACACGCATAAACGAGACAGTCTCAACATAAATTGTGTTTTTCCTCCCCAGCGCGCAAGCGCCGCCCGGCCCAAATGGAAGCGAGACTGGATAAGTGTACGATGCCGGCACAACAGGGCGCGCAACCATCCTGAAGGGGGTTCTTGAAAACTCCGCTCTATCTAGGGTAAATAACTGCTTGAAAAACAGCGTTACTCTTATCATTGCACTACCCGTTCCCGCCATCGCCCGGGCAGCTGTCGAAACTTTAGCCGCGCCTTGTAAGGACAAAGGACCAGTGTACCCCCCGCCCCGTCTCCCCCGATCCCGCCAAATAAATGGTCCCCCTAGAGTGGCATGTCCGCCCCCCTTTCCTCGGACTGGGTTGCCGCTCTAGCAACTGGAGGTACCGAGCTGGCCTCCCGAACGCGGTGGGGCGAAGTATCCTGTTGTCTAGTACCTGCAGAGGAACACAAAACGGCGAAGCGAGAATACGGGAAAGGTGTCAGGTGCACAGGTTCGCCGGGATGTCGTGCGTGCGATACACGAGAGACGCAACAAAGAAACCCTACCGTCTTGATAACAAACCCTCGCGCGCACAGGCACACGCACAACGGCGCACGGACCTGCGAAGGGCAATCCCCACCTATACCTCAACCGTAGAAAACAGAAATAAAGCGAACCGCATAATTTTGCAGCGCCCATTTGCATAGCTTCATCGCGGCCCGCCTCAACAATACAATGCACATGCGTGGGTGAGTGAAACCACCGAAAACCAAACGGCAGCAACTCGGGGTGGGCACCAAGCCAACAGTTCTTGGGCGAGAGGTTTCGAGGTAAGAAGGGGCGGGCATAGATAGGCTTGTTTGTAATGGTCTGGAAATGGGTGAGGAAGAGGAGGGGGATGCTTGCCTGAGCCAGAAAGACCGACGGCGGATCCAGTTGTAGTCCGGGAGCTCGTGGATGGGGCCCACCGCCGCCAGCGCGTGGTCCTGGTCGTTGATGATCTCGTCTGCGGACTGACGTACACCAGAAACAAACATGAAACCGTAAAAATAATCAAGACAAAAGGGCGGGGGGGGGGCGGGGTGTCAAGCGGAAACAACAACACTTCTTGCACTGATCGGGAGTAGCTAGAGCAGGTTTTCGGGGCGGCAGTGACTGACGCTTCTGTGCACGCCATTGCCCGCCCCCCCCCCCTCGGTGTTTTTCATCAGGATTGGGTTCTCGTCGCTTGGCAACGACGTTGTAAAACAAGCCAGTTCACTTCGTGAACTCGGCAACCACGTTACCGGGGTTTTTTTTACCTCGTTATTTTTTGCGGTACTGTAACCATAATGGTGGTCGAGTAGATCATGTTGTGCGGGGTGGAGAAACCTCACTCCGCGCAAAGGGGGATGATCGCACCACGTTGTGTTAAAATGGTCAAGCACCCTCGAGGCAGTTACACAGTGCTTATAACTGTCTCTGGAAGTGAAAGCACCAGAAAATAAATTAAGTCATACGCAGCTGTCATCCGTACGCAAGGAAGTAAGCACAAGATGCCGAACACCCTTAGCAGGATGCAGCGCACCCTTCATGCGACTCGCCGAATACCTCACGGCGCTTCGCGATTGGTGATGTGAGAGCCTGGTCCGGTGAGAACCCGGCATGCTCCGTCCCGGCTTTGAAGGGATGCGAGGTCAATGGTCTAACGACTACGGCATGCACGACTATGAGTACACCCCCCACCCCCGCCCCCCCGCCCCCGTCGCCCGCACTCAAGCCAGCTCAGGGTCACTCATACACACACTGCCTGACCCCGCTCTATGTTGCCTTCCTCCCCTGAGTTGGCCAACCGCGTCCCGCGGAAATAACAACACCGCAGGGTGGCACCAGTAGACTCACCGCCTTGATCTCCTTGGTGGTGATGGCGTCGATGCGCGCCACCATCTCGGCGTACGGCACCCGGCGGCCGAATTGCCTCACGTCTCCGGCGATGATGCCTGCCGCGTCTCCACACCCGGAGTTCTTCAGAAAAAAAAAAAAAAAAACGGTAGTGATGAGATGCGGGGGGGAGGGGAAGGGGGGAGGGGGGGGGAGGGTGAAACGCGATAAATAAAAACGTGCCGGAATGGGGGCGGGGGGGGGGGAAAGAATCGAATAATCAAGTCCACATGTAAAAACGGACGATGCGCCCCTGCCACCCAAACTCTCGAAAACGTAGGCGGTTTACCCGCCTCCCTCTTTGCCCCGATCTCCAGCCCAACCAACACATGCGCCACCACGCGTGGGAGCCCAACGCGTCGTGAGCGCTCTCGGCAGGCCTCCGACAACTACCGGCTGCTCATCGTCAATTCGTTCGGGTACTGTCTCTCAGACGCAATGCGTGAACCAACGGGTACCGTAAACGTTCGTGGCGAGCGAGAGACCTCGACCACAACCAACACCCAAGGGACAAGTTGTGAAGGGCAACATCGCAAAAGTCGAGTGCAGCAACAATCATCTCGTATTCTTTTGCTGCGTGGTATGTCGAAACGCCGGCCAACACCCACAGCAGCAACAGCAGCAGCAGCGACGGAATCACGAAGCTGTAGCAGCGCTGCAAATCTGCAAGCGTTCTTCTCTCTACACTGACACCCAAAGGTGGTTGTCGCTGTCACACCTGCTGGTAGATGTGGTTCTTGAGGAGAGTCTTCGCCGCGTCCACTTCCGCGTCCGTCACCTTGTGGACGATGTGCAGCTGTGGATCGCACAGCAGAGGAACACGCGCCAAGATACGGGCGGCGGAACCAGCAGTACAAGACGAGAGCGGCAGAGAACAATCGAAGCGAACCGGCAGAGAGGGGTCACCGGCGGATTCCACAAAGCCCCGAGGCGTGGCAACCACACGGGTGAAGGACGGGGGCAAGGAAAAGACAGACATAGCAGGCAGAGAGGGGTGGGGGTGAGAACGATCCGCTACAGCAGTTTCGGGCATCTTGCAGAATCCGAAACTGGACAGCCAGAGGAAACGCCGAAGTAACAAAGCACCGCAACAACCATCATAACGAACCAAAAACAATAAATCAACACACGACCACACGACCACCACGTCACCACCACGACAACAACAACAATCACGACACGGCGGGGTCGCAGTTCAGGGCTCCAGACTCGACTCACCAGGTTGTGCAGCGTGTACCACATGAAGTCGTCCAGGTGGTTGTCCGAAGCGATGCACGAGACTCCCAGGAGCCCCGCGTCCTGTGGCGGTGCAACAGCAGAACCGCCCATCGTGAAGAAAAAAAAGTGTCGCAGAGGCCCAAACAAAGCACCAAAAAAACATAGCGTAGCACAAGAGCCGTGTACGGTGCGTGTAATGGCCAGGGTGCGGTATTGGCTTCATGGATGGGGCATGTGCTGGGTGTCCAAGTAGCGATGGTCAACTCGTTTAAGGAAGCGCGTGGTGAAAAGAGTAAGCGCTACGGGACCCCGTCAATTGAGCAACGAATTGCCAACCGTGCTGTAGCGTGCCCGTTACGGTTCGCATTTTCTTTGAGCGAAGATTTCGGCTTTGTGGGATCGGGCGTGAGGGTTCTATGGGTCAGCTAGCTCCTCGACGCCATTGACTATTCTCGGCAAATTGTCTGCTGAAAAAATAAAAAATAAACAATGCGAATTCAAGCATACCGAAAATCTGTAAAGGTGCCGGACGGTCGACTGTACAAAGCAAAAAGGCTTGTCTAAACGAAAAAATGGTGAAACTGCTAGAGGGGGGGTGTTGCCTGTTCTCCTTCTCGATTACAATAAAAACGTGATCCTTGAGATGTGCCATGACCGTGGGCTGCACTACTGTAGCACCAACAAGCAAATAAATGCACAGCAAGGAAGGTGAGACAGCATGAAACTACTCATCTGCGACAAGGTGAACTCTGGCGTGCACAAGGCTGGGAGCTAGCATTATCGACCACATTGTGAAGAAAAGAGAGGGAGCAGCACCTTGTAGCCCTTGTAGAAGGGCGTCGCCACAGCGGCAAGGTTGAGCTCGGCGATCTCCTGGGCCCACTTGGAGGCGGCGTTCACGCCGAGGACCGTTCGCTCGTTGTACTCGAACCCTTTACATAAGCGAGCGATACAACACAACACCAACAAAAAAAAAAACAGGATCAGCAGCAGCAGCAGCAGCAGCAGCGGAAGAGAAAAACCGACACACGCTACGTTGGAACCAAAAAAAACACGATACATCAACAAACACACACAATCTTTCAGGATACCCTTCACGGTCGGTACTCGCATGAAACCTCCCGGAATCGGCATCTCCCCCTGACAACAGGAACACGATCGTCCTTCTGCCAGAAATTTTTCAAGAAAAAAAAAAAAAAAAAGACCACCCAAACCACCACAAAAAAGAACCGCCACCTCTGCAGAAAAACAGAAAAGAACACTCCACACGCCCCATCCTCCCGATCCCCGGTCCGCTCACCGAGCAATGCCTGCACCATCATGAGGGAAATGGAGTGCTTCGAGCCGGCGGGGGGCGCCTTGAAGGCGAAGGCCACGTGGGCGTTGGGCATGCTGTCGTAGCGCATGCGCTTGTCCGACCCGAGGAAGTAGGCCGGCTCGACGGCCTCGTCTACCGCCGAGGATGACGAGGCGGCCACGTCCCCGAGGAGGGTCTGCGCCATGTCGGTCAGAGAGCCCTGGGATGCACGCGGACAGACAAGAGTAAGTTGGTAGATTCGATTTCGTCATAGATAGGGCTACCAAATCATCTATTCAGAAAACTGCGTCCCAGTGTTAATGAATTTCTTGCTCAACAATAACAACAACAACAACAACAACAACAACAATACAACACCTTACCAACAAGAAACAAAAAACAACACCAACGACGACCAAAACACCTGCTTGACCGCTCCGGCGCCGGCGACCACCACCCGCGATCCGGCCAAGCCGCGGCCGTAGAAGTTCTTGGCCCCGTCCAGGCCGAGGGCGCTGACGCTCTCCGCAGTCCCGAGGGGCGACATGCCCATAGCCGTGTCGAGGAAGGCGGCGTCGTGGAGGTGGTCCATCAGGCCCAACCGGGGGTCGCGACGCGCCGCTGATGTTTCGTTGGGGGAGAGGGGGGGGGGGGGATTTTCTTGTAAAAAAAAAAATGGGAAAAGCAGTTCGTTTCGAAAAGCAATTTGTTTTCCCATCGACGGCGCCCGATGGAAGTAGGTCGGCGTGGGATGCACGCTACAGAAAAATGGGAACGAGTAAGTACTAGTAGGGTTCGGTCAGGATACAGCACGCGCCACCCACTTCAGAAATTGGCAGCTACATAAGAACGCAAGCCTGTGCAAATCCAGATAGACTTGAGTGAGGGAGACAAAGAGATACAACAAGCACGAGACAGACATACGACCGATGTATCACATTATACCTTCGATGTCGTCAAGGACAGCTCCCTTGGAGGCCTGCAGCGACTCTGCCGACAGGCTCGTCGCCTGAGTCGCGGAAAAGCAGCAGTGCGCAAACGGGTTTGGATTCGGGGGTGAGGGGGGGAGGCGGGGAGGCGGTGTGCGGTGCGGCAACAGTGGCTGTGAAGCGCGCGCATTGATGCAACACGAGGGGGGACGACCTCGCGGTCGACTTGAAGGCTTTTCCATACATGATCCTCCCAAAGTGATACAGTACAATCGGCGAAAAACATGGCCGGTTGTGCACGCGATGACGACATCAGCAGCGCAGGCGGCTTTACGCAACGATGGCGACGTTAACAATATATGGTATGGTACAAAATACGACAACGGCGACGACAGAAAGACAAACCAACAGCAACAACTATTAATACTACCATGACATCGATAGCAAAAAACACAACATGCACAACTACGACAACGACAACAAGATAAAACAACAGCAGTGGGAACTATGCATACAACAACGACAACGACACGACGCACCTTGACGGCGTCGGCGAGCACCGCCATGGCCTTGGGCACGTCGGCCTCGGCCACGGTCGCGCTGTAGGTCATCACCTCCCTGTCCACGGTCTGGGTGAAGTGTCCCCCCATCGCCGCGATCGCCGGCTCGCTCCCCTGACGAAACGAGACAAAAAGACCAATCGTCGACGTGAACAGGCAAAAATAGGCGTGTTCACCTTCCTGTGCGGTAGAACTTTATGAAGCATGGCGCCAAACATGCGTGCCGTGTTTGATGAAAGCATTAAGGCACCGGCCTGATCTTCTACTTGAATGTGCTTACTCAACAGCACACCAAACACACATAGAGCAAAACTGCTGTTGATCTCTTGTTTGTCTCTTGTTGGACAGCGGACAACAGCAAGTGACAGCAAGGCGAAATTCTCCTATTTAGCACGACACCATGATACCATCCCGTATAGCAAGCTCACGGGGCCTGGGGCCCAGGACAAACAGGGAAGGATCAGGACCAGGAGAAATCCGGCGGAATCGAATACGACGAGGGACCGACTTGACTCACCGTGAAAGCGGAGGCACCAATCACCGAGCACACGCCGTTGTTCTCCGGAGACTCGTACCGGGACCCCAGGTCGACGCTGACCGTCAGCGCGGCCACGGGCCCGCCCCCGGCCTCCGTGGCGACCCGGACGCCGTTACCCAGCTGGCTCGCGACAACAACGACAGGAACAACGACGACGACGTGGGAATCGATGCGAGGCGAGTGCTGAGGCACAAAGCGAACGTGTGTGCTTTTCAAACCAAGTGCGCAGAACCCCTGCTGCCTCATGTGGGTTTGGACGTAAAAGGCGACATTTCGGGATTCCAAATCAGAAAATCTTCCATGACAACCGGCCTTAGGATATTGGCCCCCTTTAGGGATCCTTGACCTGTACCCGCTTAACGAGTGACGTCATTCGATCGCTCAGCCAGGTAGTGCTGTAACTATAATACTTCTAGAAGCCACCCACACAAGAGATCGTGGCCTTCACCTTCCATTTTTAGCCGCACTGAGACTGCTGACGTATTCTCATCGATCACCCGGTTACTGCGGTCGATGCCAACAATCAACACCCACACACAACCGCACTGAGACTGATGCATTTTTCATTGGTCAGCCGGTTGCCGGGGTCGATCCCAACAAGTCAACACACACACACACACACACACACACACACACACAAATTTTGCGTTTTCAACCGCACTGAGACCGACGTCTTTTTATTGGTCAGCCGGTCATGTAGCGCGGTCGAGCGGTCGATGCTAGTAACGAAGGGTTACACCCATACCTTAGCCTGCTGTGTCTCCGGTGCCGTGAGGACGGCGTCGGGGTAGAGCGGTGCGGCTTCCTCCTGCACCGCGGCCGCGCCCAAGCGCCTCACGCCGCCGACGGCAGCAGCAGCCGCTCGGCGAGAGGCCACCGACGCCGCATCCTGCAACAAGACAGGAGGGGGGGTTGATACGTCGTACCACATGTTTAAGAGAGGTTTTCAATGCCCAGATATTTTCGGGGGCTGAGGTTGGGCTATGTACCTGTTTTGGGTATGCAGGACCTGCGTGCAGACAAGAAGGGGTATCGTAGAGTGCAGCATAGAGTTTGGGGGAGGGGCGGCCTAAAACATGAACCAAAACTCACCGCCATAGTATAGCATGCTGGTATCGTGCTGTAAGAGGATGTCAACAGGAGGTTGATGCGAGTGTGATGACAGACACAAGGGTGCTCAAGAAAAAGAGAAAGAGGTCGCCAAAGGCAGAGGGTTGTAGTGCGGGGTTTTGATCATTGTATGCATAGGTGGAATCCGCATGTTGACACTCTGATGAACGTCCAGTGCTGCTGCTGCTGCTGCTGTAGACTGCTGTAGAAAGAGTTTATCGCTCCTCATGAACCCCTCACTACTGCTGTGCTGTGTGTTGGGGAAACGTTTGTCTTCCTGTTCACTAAACTATGCTGGTTCTGTCTCCTGCTGCTGTTTAACCGATATGTACGCCCAAAGGTGGACACCGACGTCCAGCACAAAGGGGACGACGCAAACACATACATGCAGCGCATATGTAGAGTGCCCATCATACGGTTGCACCCAACCGGAGCACAACCAGCAGCATGTGTTGTAGAATAGAGAGAGCAAGAACCTGCAACACAAGAAGTCGGGGCTGACTCAATTCTGGGCAACAAACACGCCCATACACCTTACACACAAAGGAAATATCATCAGCAATGATGGCTGACACCAAGTAAGGACAATGCCACGGCTTCGCTAGGATTCACTGCTGTGCACGCACCGTTCCAATTCGGCGGCGATGAAGTCGGTGACTTGGGTGGTACGTGGGTCGATGTTTCCGCATTTTGCAGAAAAAGGGACACGCTTCAGATCACAACACAATACGTGAACACGACTGAAGAGAGCAGCAGCAAACTAGGTCGGCGTACCGATATTGGACGCAAAGCTCAAAACCCGGGAGACAAGCGTGTGTTGCCGGGAAAAGGCTCAAACGCGTATGGAACGTTGACGCCCCCCGCCCCACACGCACACACGAGGTCGCGTGAGAGGGGCAGCAGTGGGAGCCCCACGGCGGGAGGGCAAACGTGTGCAATCAAATCACGTTCCGCAAGACTCAGTGCTCTCTGCAACAAGGTTAGCACACACCGCCAACCCCTCCCCTAGACTCCGTGCTTGCACCACATGTGATGTGCCTTGTCGGCTGCTGTCGTGCAATCGAACAACTGGGGTGTTGTCGCTTGAGTACCAAGACAGCAGACGGCAGCAGGAGCACACCAGCATACACGCAAGTGCGAAACGCTACAGAGGCCCGGGCCTTCGCGGCTCTCTTCTCTCTCTTGCGTTGGGCAAATCCGTGCACTCGCAAACTCTGACCCCTGACCCGACCCTTGTCTCACCCTTGCAAGGCCCGCACGAAGCGCTGACGCCAAGACCATGGTCCCAAACGCTCTCCTTCGTCCGGTATGCCCTCTCTCCGTTTGCGTGTACACGCCTTCCCGCTCTGTGCCGGACGCAAGGAAGCTGTAGGGGGGGGGGGGACAGGGGCCACAGTAGGAGTTCGAGTGAATGCTCGCATAGTGCGGGAACATTTGAATACAGACTGGAAAGAAAAACAATATCGTCCCCGGTTCCTTTAGGGGGGTACGGTGTCGAGAATTGAGGATCATGAAAACGATGCACGGAGCTCCCATGTCGCGACCGATCGATTTTGTCTGTGTTGTACTGACTCGCCGCTGTGGGTGCTGTGCAGTCTGTCTGTGCTCCAGCGGGTGCCAGCGTCCACCGGGGGAGATGCCTATGGGTTCGGGCTCGGCCTTTCCTGGCCTTTGCCACCCTGCGTTCGTTTCGCCCGGAGCTGCCGCCTCGAGCTTCCCGATGACGACGACGTACAAGCGCTGCCGGCAGGAGCGGCATCCACGGCAAGGTGCTACTTCAAGACACGGCCCAGGCCACCGCATGCACCCTGTGCTCCTGCGGCCTGCTGACGCTGCTGGCGGGAGGTACGGGCCGCATGTTGCGTCGTGCGCTGGTCACGGCATGGGTGGTGGTTCTACGCGCGAGCGAGAGCGCCATAGGCTGTTCATGATACTCGCGCAGCAGAAGGTGGCGCCGCCTGAAAGAGACTCGGCTGCCGAAGCAGCAGCAGCGGCGGAGGCAGCAGCGGATCATGCCGCGTCGAGTGCGCAGCAGCAGCAGCAGCAGGTGCAGTATCGCGGACGAGTCGTAGCCATGCCACCATTGAAGCGCGAAGAGCAGCGCGGCAGCAGTGGTGGTGGCCGTAGGAGCAGCAAGCAGCCGGCAAAGTCGGGCACGGCAGGTGTTGCCCATCACTCTGGACCTGAACAACAGCAGCATCAACCAAACGGCGGTGCAGCAGTAGCCCAGGGACGAGGCAGCGGCAGTGAGGGGGCACGGCAGCCCACCTCGGCACGAACCACGACGATCAATGGCGACGGCGGCGGTGGTTCCGATGTCGCTTCGAGTGAGTCGTTTCGAGGGGCGGGCGGCGGGAGCAGTAAGAGGGGTGGCATGAGACACGACGACAGCGAGGGGGAGAAGAAGGTGGAGACGGTGCCATCACCGGCCGCCGCCGCCACCGGCGAGAGGACGTCGTCGGGCCGCGCGCGACGGCAGCGGGATCGACGGAGAAGAGAGAGGGCTGCCATGGCCGCCAAGAAGTCCCTCGTCAAGAAGGTGAGGCGTGCCGCCTGCTGGCAACAGCAGTAGCAGTGTCGGCTACAATGCGGAGTGTCTTTCGTTTGTGTTGTCTTTTTTGCTGTTGTCATGCCTGCTCCCCTGGTGTTCCCTTTTTGCCCCCGGGGCAGGCACGCACTGCTGTGTCGTCGCGGACACACAAGGACGGCAAACGCTCGCCTGTTCTACTGCCATCGGAACGTCTTTTTTTCGCGGACAACGCGTTGACGGTAGCGAGTTTGTTTTTGTTTTTGGCTTGGTCTATTTTTTCATCGGACCGTCAGCCGACCACGTGTCTCGACAAAGAGCATGCATACTCGCACATAAGCACTCGCTGGCGGTTAACTGATGGCTACCTCGGAAGGGTATCGCTGAGGGTATCCCCAGCCAGATCTGCACACACGGCGTATTCGAGGAGTTGGACGCGTATGTTGTGTGCACAAGACTGCTGATATGATCCTTTACGACTTGGTATATCGATGCACGTGTAGCATTCGATCACTTGTAGCGGTTTCATCAGCCAGCTACATCAGAGAGTTGTTCGCCCTCCCTCATGGGGTGCGATTGTCTAAAATGTACAATGGACCGCTCTCTGTTTCGATTTCGACGCATCCCCCACCAAATTCCACCATCTGTGAAATGAGTTTGCTCGGGAAAACCGTTGTGCACAAAAAACAGCCGGAGTATATCTGAACGCATGCCCATCCCCTTTTATGTTCCTTTTGGTTGCTTCGACCGCACGGTTGAGAACGCCGTCGTTAACTTGGACGCCATCCGGAACACCACCCTGCACACGTCTCCGGAAGAAAGAACCACTCCTTCTAGACGCTCGTATTTTGCGCCATCACCCCGTTTAAAGTCCCCCGTTATCCTCCGGCGTATCCTGAACCCAACAATCGGTCAACAAACAGGTGAAGGACCTAGGGAAGGTCGGGCGATGGCGGCAAGCTATCTCCGAGGTGGACTCGGCCATCGAGGGCGGCCTCCTTCCCGACGAGTACGTTTACGGCAGCTGCGTGGGCGCGGCGGCCGACAACGGGCGGTGGCAGGAGGCGCTAGGCATCCTCCGCCGCATGCGGGAGGACGGGGTGGAGCCGACGACGCCGGTCTACAACGCGGCCATCAAGGCGTGCGCCAGGGGCAAGCAGCTGAAGCTGGCCCTGGCGCTGCTGGAGGAGATGCGATCCAACGCCGCCAAGGCCAACGCAGCACCACCGGTCGCCGCCCCTGCTGCCGCTGCTGCCGGCGCCGCCGTTGCAGAGTCGCCCGCGATAGGAGATGGCAGTAGTTGGTCCGGTGTGGTAGGGCGCAGCGGCACCGCGAGGGTCCGGGCGGGGGAGGGCGACGTACGGAAGGAAGGGCTCCGTTTGAACGGCGTGGGTGGTGGCGCCAAGGGTAGTCGGAGCGGCGGCAGGAGCGGCAGTCGCCGGACCGGCCCCGGGGCCGCCTGCTCCTCGGATTACGACCCCGACATCCAGACGATCAACACGGTCATGGCGGCGTGCGCCGCCGAGGGGGAGTGGGAGCTGGCGCTGGAGGTGATGAAGAAGGCCCAGCGGGAGGACGGTCTCCACCCGACGAGGATCACGTACAACACGGCAATCTCGGCGTGCGGCCGCCGCGGGGAGTCCGACCGGGCGGTCCAACTGCTCCGGGAGATGAGAGTCGCCGGCCTGGCCCCGGACACGATAAGCTACAACTCGGCGATGGCGGCGTGCGCGGTCAAGGGCCAGTGGAGGCGGGCGCTGTCTCTGTTAGGGGAGATGGGAGCGGGCGGGAAGGGCGGCCACGGGTCGGGGGGGGCGAGGCTTCCTTCGCCTGACGTGTACAGCTTCGGCTCGGCCATCACGGCTTGCGGGCGCGGGGGGCAGTGGTCCCTGGCCGTAGGGCTGCTGGGCACGATGCGCCGGAAGGGGATCGCGCCGGGGGTGGTGGCGTTCAACGCCGCCATCTCCGCTTGCGGGGAGGCCGGGCAGTGGGAGCGCGCGCTCGGGCTGCTGCGGGACATGGAGGCGGAGGCGGGGGAGAGAGGGCGGGAGCCGGGAAGCGACGGCAGCGGCGGCGGCTTCGCCGGTCCCAACCGCGTGAGCTTCAACGCCGCGATAAACGCCTGCAGCAACGCCGGCGAGTGGCAGCAGGCCATCTCTCTTCTGGAAGAGATGCGGCGCAACGCTAACGCGGGGAGCGATGCCGCCGAATACAACGACGACCTAGCGCTGCCGGCGAATCGCGAGCACGACAGCGCGGCCGATGGCAACAACAAAGACGCGGGACTACTTGCAGCGGGGGCGGCGGCGGCGGCGAGGAATAGCGACCCTCGAGAATTAACGCCTTCCGAATATGGCGGTGGGATAACGGCTCCCGAGGGAGCGGAGGGCGTTAGCAAGGCCGACCGGAGACGGCGGCGCCGGCGAGGGAGGACGGGTGGTCCGACGCCAGACGTGGTGAGCTACTCCGCGACCATCACGGCCTGCAGCCGAGCGGGGAACTGGGAGCGGGCGCTGGGGCTGCTGGATCAGATGCGGGAGGACGGCCTCGAGCCCAACTCGACGACCTTCTCGACGATGATCTCGGCGTGGAGGAGGGACTGGGGCTACGGCGGCGACGGCGCCCGGGGGCAGGAGGCCCGGGGCGCGCTTCTGCCCCTGCTGGCCAGCATGGCGACGTGCAGGGGGTTGGCGCCCGACGCGAGGCTGTACGGCTCGGCGCTGGACGCCTGCGCGGACGCCTCGTTGTGCCAGCCGGCGCGAGACCTGCTCGCAGGCATGGTCTCCTCCGGAGTTCCCGTCGACGACAGAGCTCGCCGCGCCGTCGCGACCGCGTGCGCAGCTCCGGCGGCAGCACGATCGTCGTCATCTTCGGAATCGAGACAAACCAACGACCCTAACGCCGATTTTTGACAACAACGTCCAGAGCGGAGCGACAAGATGATCCAGACTGGCAGTTTTTTGTGGACAGCTAGTGTTTTTGTAAGCACGCTTGGCGATAGGTTGTTGACTCTCCCGGATAATGAGTTTCCGACATGGTGTGTGTCAGCGCCTGGATGCTAGGCATACATGATGGCCTGTTCCTTTTTTTCTGCCCCGGAAGAGGGAGGGCGGCGTTATCGAATGTTCTTCCAAGTCAGAGGTTGAGGATGCGGAGTTTTGGGTCTTTCTTGGCCCGAGCTTATTTGTGCTGGCCGGGTAGGCGAAACGCGTACGGCTGCCGGAAATAATGAAAACCATTTGTGAGTGCGTGCGTGCGTGCCTTGGAGGGCGTACCCCTACTCTTGTACAGTTCGTCGCCAGTGTGCGAAGTGTGTATTGCGTGTTTGAAAGGTCGTGTAGTGGACACGTGTTGCTGCGGGAGGGCACGGTGCGGGGCAAGGGCGCCGCCGCGTTAGGGTTAGCGTTGGGACATGGAACCCTACATTGTTGCTGTGGTGTGACAATTTTGGATGTTGGGGGCTCTTTTATTGTGTTTGCGCGTGGTTTGGCGATGGTATTGGTGATCTGTGACAAACCTAACCCATACAAAACGACGTCAGAGACTCTGGCGTCGCGATGTGCAGGAGAGGGGGGGTGGGGCAAGGTGTACTAATTGGGCGAGACATTATGTGGTGGTAGAGCTGTGTTTTGGTTTCCCCCTAAATTTGTTCGTGGTTGGAAAATCGCTCGACGCGTCAAGCTGGCATGGAGGATTTCTCGGCATGACGAGCTTCTGATATTCCCGCACCTTTGCTCAACAGGGGAGAGAGAAAAGGACATGGGTACGTGGCGAAGCACCAACCACCAAACAGCTCCTCCCGGTTTTACCATTCAGTCACCAATGATCGTGAAGAACTACTGTGACAGGTACCGCTTGGTAGGTAGGGGGCGTGTCTGTTGGCCATAAAGCCAACGACACGAGAAGGAAGAGCGGGACCCCGGGATTTCGGTCGATCGCTCGGTCGTCCTCATTTCTTGTGCTCTTCGGCGATGAGCCGTAAGTCACTCGCTTCACTTGACCTGTGTTGCCAGAGGGAGCGCACCCAATCTCATGTTGAGGACCTCTCTAGTGGGCTCTGCCTCGAGATCTGGCTGAGGCTCATTGAGGCTTTACACGTTTTCGGGAAATGCGCACGTCAAGAGGGCGAGATGTGAGATGATCATGTATGTATCTCAGCGATTTCGAACTTGCGAACTTGGGGCGGCGGACGAATGCAAACCCAGCCTGCCGTCGTAGGTCTTATCTTCCCCCCCCCCCTGGTGCTGGTGGTCAATGGTCTAACCGCTAAGGCATGCAAAGCATAAGAGTACGCCCCCCCCCCCCCTGGTGCTGGCATTGGCAACAGGCTAGCAGCGTTGTTACAACAGGCATGTGTTGAAAATTCCAGGGTACTCCTCGGGAATTTTCCCGGGGTTTTTTCACGGGGTTGGTAGGCGGATCCGGTACTCGCCGGCGTTCCCGTCATAATTCGCTGAACCGGGTACCGCCGAAGGCGGTACCGGCAAAAATCAAGAGCCGTTTCCCGCCTAAAAAGTACCGGCATATTACAGTACCGGCATATCGTGGTACCGGCAAAAAGCTACCGGCAAAGCCTAGTACCGCTCAAATGGTACCGCGGAGGTGGGTGCACTAGTCTAAACATAACAAATAAAACACGTCTACTGAGAAGAACTGAGGTTCAAACCCCACCGACGACTTCGTTCTGATGTTTCAAAACTAGGTGGCTACATGTCAACTTTTTTTTATTGCTTTTGAGTTTCGTTTGCACGAGGCCAGTCGATTGTGAACAGATCAGTTCACATATGTATTCATATTTTATATTTTATAGTATATAGTAAGCATTTTGTAGTTTGTAATCGGTGTTCAGGTATGTGTAAAATCGTAAAGTCAGTTTCATTCAGTGCTTCGCATTTATTTTTCATTTTTTGACAGGAGAGAGGTTTGCCGTTTGTCCGGAAGCCAAAGAAAAAATGCCTGAACTTAGGGAACCGCCGAATCGTACTACCGCCTGCGGTTTACCGCCATTTTGGGGTGTACCAGGAACCGCCGAAGGCGGAGCCGGCATATTGCGAACCGGCGGCGGCGTTCCCGTCAAAAATTGCAGAACCGGGTACCGCCGAAGGCGGTACCGTCAAAAAATACAGAACCGGCGTACCGCCAAATTGTTCCCGTCATGTCGAGGTACCGCCCAAACTGTTCCCGGCAAAAAAAACGTTCCCGAGTACCCTGGAAAATTCATCTCTATCCCGATAGCATAAAGACGGCCGGCCTTTGTCCACATGGTCGTCAAACAAAACAGCAACGCCAACCCAGGTGGTGTCAGAAAACACGATTTGAACCCACCAACATCTAGCGCCGTGAACGGCAATACCCCAGATACAAGCAAAACAGAGAACCCGCGGAGGGTGGGTGAAGTCGAAAGCAGTCAGTCGCATCCGGACAGCTTTCATTCGCATTCCGCCCCGACCAAACCATAAAAAGCCAAACAACATGAACTATGAGCACAAGCGGAAGGGAAGATCCATGTTCGACCATTGCGACGCCTGGATGGCCGCGCCTCTTTAACAAATCCCACCGTCGTCAAAGCCTCTCCATACCCCGCAGCCATGCGCAATAACAACACACACCGTAGGCTGTGCTTCCCTTCCGCCTGTTGCCTGTGATTCCAAACAATTCTAACATGTCGTGCGCGTACGACACGTGAAGGACCGGGGGGGGTACATCCAAGGAACACAATCAATCACAGCCGTCTAGCTGTTTCCTCCTGCACGCGCACGACGCCGGCAAGCAACCCAAACAAAATCACGAGAGGATTAAGAAAAAAAACGGGCCAACGAGCGGATGCAAGACACCCACCAGCCCCAGCCGAGCGAACACGAGTCCAGCACCGATCACTCATCGTGCCCGCGCCTTACAAGAGCACACCCGCGATGTATCTCCCGGCGCACATCCTCCGCCCGGCCCGCGATGTATCTCCCGGCGCCACAAGCTCTCAAACAAGACCAAGCCCGTGCGGGAAGCTAGCCAAACTTCGGGTGTCACGCGAATCTCCGGAACGGTCTGGAGTTGGTATTTCGACACCTTGACTTTGGGGTCTCTACGAACGTTTCGATTGGCGGCGGCATTGCCACGGCATCAGTCCGGGCGCGCTCTGCCTCCAACAATGGGGCATCGAGTCACAAAAAAAAAAGGTTTAATCGCAACAACGATGATAACAATTACAACAAAAACGGAAACTTGCCCCCAAGAGCGTGCTGTCAACACCAGCCGCTTCGAGTCATTTGCACTCAGGAAATCTACGGTATCAACATTGGGGGGAAAAGAAAAACATCCAGAAGAGGGTACACACAATACAAAGATATATCTTGATCCCGCTCCGACATCACCGCACACGCTCACCAAAATGCCCATTAACTAACGTGCTTCCTCAAATGCCCACTGATAACGTGTTTCTTCAACGCCCACTTGATAATGATTAAAAACGGTTTTAAACACGAAGAGAACTCTGCCGCCATCATACCGTAGGATTTTTTACGTAAGATACCACACCCCCTAGACTTATTCTCAAAAAGCTCGACAACTCAACGACTTGGCGGATGCCAAGACCAAATGAAAAGTGTTGGGAAAGGTAAGGTCTCGACGAGACGGACCCAACGCCCCAATCTTCGGCACGTCCGTCACTGGCTTTTGTTTTTTTAGATTTGGAAGAGCCACGCCACCGAGAACACTCCGACCCCCAGCGCAAGCACACACCGCACGCGCCTCCATCCACCACCAAAAAACACAGAAAAAAGAAAATCATCGCGCGAAGGAACAAACGACCTCAGACCAATAACCTAAACAAGCGACGACGAGATGGATGGTACTGTAACGAGTTGATAAAAGAGCTGCGAGGCAGCACTTACCCGTGTATGGACAGCGACAGCAAAAGTAATTGTCCAAGCTGTCCAGCACTAGAAAAAAACTGCTCACAGCAGCAGTGCGAAGACAAGGAGAAGCCAAGGCATGCGAAAAAAAAAAAACGTCAGGGGAGCCGACAAGGCGGAAACAGGAAAAGATGACGGGCGACCTTGCGTGGCGCTTACATAACCACGTATGGGCAGCGACCGCCAGTACCGTACAAGCGTGCCGTGGTAAAATAAAATAAAAGCAGTCCCAAGACAAAGGATAAACCCAAGACAAAAAAACTCAGCAGGACAAAGAAATAACGAACAAGCCGACGACATTGATGACCAAGGAGCTATTTGCGTGGCACCTACGCAAACGCACGTATGGACAGCCCCCGCATCTGATGTACAAGCGTCCCTTGAGAGAACAAACAACGAACACCACTTCGAAGACAAGGAGAAGACCCAAGACACAAAACAAATCTCAGCAGGATAAGAATATTCACGAAGTGTAAGACAAAAAACGAAAGCGCCCTCTGGAAAAAAAGACCAGCTGAAGGAGACTGAGAGTTTGACAGAAAAGGACGCACATACCGTAATTATTTAGATGCTGGGTTGTGATTGGGCAGACGTAGCTGCCCAGGCACGACTAAGACGAGGGCCCAACATGAAAAGGCACCACGCAACTCGAGCACAAGCACAAGCACAAGCATCAGCATTTAAAAAATCGCCCACCCACTCTCAGGCCTCAGCCTTAGGCCCGAGCGGGGTGGTGCGGCCGTCGCTCATGTCGGACGAGACCGACGTAAAGAAAACAACATCGTCTCTCGCGGTTTGCGAGAGGAGGACTGTCGCTGCTGCTGCTGCTGTAGCACCTCATCTAGAGGTGGGGGACGGAACACCGCACATCCAAAAACACACTTCACGAGAAGATGATCTTCCCCGCGGCCCAAAATAATGTCGACTTCGCACGGCGGGCAGGGTTGCCTACACCAACCAGTCCCAAACACCGCGCTTGCGACACACACGCACGCCTACACGAACGGTTTTTCAGACGACGCTGCTCATGGACGCGGCGCGACGTGTCTCTCCGACTCGGCGTGCGACGCCGCCGCCGCCGCCGCCGCCGCCGCCGTCCGCAGCGGCGCACGCGGCCAGGAGGCCGCAGTCGTCCACGCGCGGGTGCTCGCGCTCCTCGGCTATGGCTCGACGCTGGAGGCGGAGGGTCACTTGCCTGGCTCGACGTTGTCGTGGTGGCGGTGGTGGCGGTGGTGGCGGTGGTGGCGGCGGTGGTTGTCGTCGTTGTCACCGTCGGTGGTGGTGGTGTCAGTGGTTGTCGGTGTCATCGGTGTCAGTGGTGGTCGATGCCATCGGTGTCAGTGGTGGTCGATGCCATCGGTGTCAGTGGTGGTCGATGCCATCGGTGTCAGTGGTTGTCGATGCCATTGGTGTCAGTGGTTGTCGATGCCATCGGTGTCAGTGGTTGTCGATGCCATCGGTGTCAGCGGTTGGCGATGCCATCGCCAGTGGCGTCATTTTTCGTGGTGATCGACGGACAAAACGTTGACGGCACACAAGGTAGAGGAGGGGGTTATCGTAAGCGATGGACGGCACGAGGTAGAGGCGGGGGGTTGTCCTTAAACGATGGAGCCCAGACAAGAAAGAAAGAAGAAACACACGCATACATGCACACACCGCCGTTCCTCGTCGGCCGGGAAAATCGTGCAAGTCGGAGGATGGACAAGAAGCTGGAGTGAGCAGGCCATGGATTGGAGCAGGCCAGACATTAGAGCGCGTCTTCAATAACTCGAACGACATCACCACAACCTCAACTAACAACAATCAACACCGTCGACGGCATCAACAAGGCCAAGCGATGCAATTTGCAACACTACCGAACCCTTCTCGCAACAAAACCGAGGCAAGCACCGCAGGGGGAAAGGTGGGGCTACAAAACAAACAACAAAATATATGAAAGGTTCATGTGTGACCTTCCTCTTGTGTGGCCACGGCCGGTACGTCAGGTACTGTACGGTATATACGCCGAAATGCCTGTAAACCGGGGCGCCAGAATAGATGGGACAGACACACACACACCATCACCGTTACCACCGACCCTATCCCTAACCCTAACCCTAACCCCAAAGAACGAATTCAATACTTTATCCCATATGTTTGCTTAATCAATTTTGCTGCGTAGACTACTGCGACAACAGCGACGGCAACAGCGACGGCAACGACGACAACACCACAAAAAAAAAACGCACGAAATGTTGCCACCACCACCTCAGAACCTGGCATTTTAAGCCTCGAAGAACTCAATACAGCCGTGCGTCCGATGTAAGACGGTATGGTACCTTGTAAGAGGGGGATCCGACATATCAGAGGGTGGGTCCAAATCGGTGGTCACGGACTCGACCCCCTAGTCGAATTATTGAGAGTGTTCTTAATCTTTACTTGGTACAAGAGGGGGCTCCGATATATAAAGAGAGGGTCGAGAGCCTTTGTCACATCACCCTGTTATGATATATCGGACCCACGACCGCTGTACCTACAACAACACCGTTCGTGAGCTCGGTAAAGAAGCCCCGCACTAACAAGACCCACACAGTGGCCACAAGAAGAACTCCAACGCCGTTTGTGAGCTCGGTACAGAACCACCACAATAACACCCGTTCGTAGTATAGCCTAGACCCTGAGGAATCAGGAACCCCACCCTCGGCAATTTTGAGAGGATCTTATCTTGACAGCGGTTCCTCCTACTGTACTCTAATACTGGTACACCCCCTACTGTACTCTGATACTGGTACACCTCCTGCTGTACTCTAATACTGGTGTACCCTTGCTGGTAAGCTACTGGTGCACCCTTGCTGGTAAGCTGTACGGTAAGCATGGCTTGCCTGGAGAGCAGCTCCGGTTCGTCGGCGAGTGTTTGCAGGTCGGACAGGAAGGCTCGGAACTCGGCCGGGCCGATGGACTTGGAGTGGTCCGGGTCGGCGAGTCGGAACAGTTCCCTCGTCTGCGTCTGTGTTGTCGCGAGCGCGCCGCGAGGGGGGGGGAAACAAACGACACCAACAAAAGGAACAGCAGAAAAGAAACAGCGAAAAGGGTTGTTGTGTCCCGCTACCGCGTGGCAACATCTCATCCCAGTTCGCTTGTCGGCGAGTCTAAAGAGCTTCTTCGTTTGCATCTGTGCTCTCTCGCGCAAGACCAAAAAAAAAAAAAAAATGCAAAAACAAAAAAAAACGTCGACGAGTCGAAAAGGTCTTTCGTTGGCACCTGTTCTCGCTCGCGAGACGTCAAAACGATGCACGCGTGCAGAACAAAAAAAAAAGGCAAGCCTCCACCCTGCCACAACCATCCACAGGGCAAAGGAATTTTGCGTGAGTTGAGCGTCGTCGAAGGGTACATAACCGTAGGTTGCGTTGCGGACTAGCAGAGGCACAGTAGAACCCTACCCTACCGTGGATGGCACGATGTATTACGCGCACCCCTGGGCCACCGATTTTGAAGGCTCGGTTACTGCGCAGCAGAAAGGCTCGATTACTGCGCAGCAGAAAGAGGTGCCGGAAGTGGAGGCATTGGAATCGTCTCGTCGAGAGCTCCCCAACAACATTAGTATCGCTCAAGGCTCGACTACTGCGCAGCAGAAAGAGGGAGGCGGTGCCGGAAATGGCGGAGTTGGAAGCGTCTTGTCGAGAGCTTCTTAAAAAGGATAGCATCGCCTCACATTATTACACGCTCTTCTACGTCGTGGAGAGATTCGAGCGTTGGACATCGGTCCAGGGGGTGTGATGACTCACGTCGCCTATGGTGTTCTAGTGGAAAACACTCGCATATATGCCGCAGCATCTACGTACCATTATCCTCAAGCGGGCACATGATAAGCGCAACAAAACCAAAAAAGAGGGCAATAAAAAGACCGGGCGTTGTTGCATGTACGCCGGGGGAAAGAGAGAGAGAGAGAGCGAGAGAGAGAGAGAGCGAGAGAGAGAGAGAGAGAGACAGAGAGAGAGAGAGAGAGAGAGAGAGAGATAGAGAGAGAGAGAGAGAGAGAGAGAGAGACACACAGAGAGAGACAGAGACAGAGACAGAGAACGAGGGTTGTCGCATGGGGAGGGGGAGAGAGAACGTCAAAACAAAAGCAAGCACACCGTACCGCAGAGAGGTAGACACCGAGCTTGTTGAGCCCCCTTGTGAGCTCCTCCCGCGTAATCAAGTTGTTCCCGTCCTTGTCCCACTCCTCAAAGAGTTCGTCCATCACCAGCGACAGCAGCCTCGCGCCGGCGGCGCCGGCCCCCGCACCCTAGCACGGCACGATGAGGCCGCGGCGAGCATAAGGAGTTGGAGCGAGGCTTGTGCTCCATAGGTTGCGCGATTTAGATACATTGACGTTTGTCCCACTCTATTTTCAGAGTGATTCCCCCAAATCGACAACAAATACAACGTCTATCGAGTACAAGCCCAGGTGGAGCTTGGACGTCATCCGAAAAGCGGCATGCCGAAGAGGGGGGAGGGAGGGCAAGGCAGGAGGTGGAAATAACCTTGACCCTACGTCTATCTGTGATAGTATTTTCATCCACAATCACAACGCCAGCAGCAGCAGCAGCAGCAGCAGCAGCAGCAGCAGCAGCAGCAGCAGCAAAGACAGCAAGGGTGGCAGGGATGTGCTACGAAAAAAAAAAAAACGCAACACACAACATCAGCACTAACCAACTATTACCCTTGCTTCGTCGTCTCAATCTCAAAAACTCTCTCCCCGACGTCGACCTTCGCGGACAGCTAGTAGCGCTCTGGCGCACGGGTGGCTCTACCCGAAGCACTTCATGTCAATTCCAAGACACTTCGGTGCCCCCCCCCCCCCCCCCCCCCCCCCCCCCCCCCCCTCCTCCCTTCTCCCTTTTTTATCTTTT